TCCAATTAAGCACCAAAAATCCGGAGATGGCGCTGTGGCTCCAGTGGTAGAGTGCTTGCCTTGAGCTGAGGAGCTGAGGGGCAGCGCCCAGCCTGAGTTCAAAGCCCCGCAACCGACCAAAATAATATAATAACATATATAATAATTGGAATGACATGGGCAATACTAATGATATGGAAGAGAGCAAAATAAGGTAAATAGGAACTCGCACGCGAGCCCATGAGATCATATGTATACATAGAACTAGGTATACAGATAAATTTGATCTTTGGCGAATATGATCCTGAGTCAGAACCTTAAGTGGGTCGCCATCACTCATCCCTGTCCGGTGACTTGGTCCCCATGGCCGTCAGCTCCCACTTCTTCAGCTCGTCTCACCCCCGCACACTCAACATCCACCCCCCCCTCTCCCCCCCCCCCCCCGTCACTGCCCCAGGGCGCACCCTCGGACTGCGGAGACCCTTCTTGGAGGAGCGCGGAACGCTCCACACCCCGCGCTCACCTGTTCCCCTCCGCGCTCTCCGCCCCAGGCCGTGACCCGAGTGGCCCCAACTACACCGTCCCCGGCTTCATTTTAACAGCAGCCCGTGGATTCCTGGGGATGGGGGGGCGGAACGCGAGCTGCAGGTGCGCATGCGCACTAGGAAACTGCTTGTACGGACCAGTGGTCAACACGGAGCTCCGCTAATCTCATTGCAGATTGGGTGCTGAGGTTCAGCGCCAAGATGGCGGCGCCCAGAGGACACAGCAGTCTGTAGGCGGCCCTGCTCGGAGAGACGCGGCGACGGTGGGGGTGAGCCACTGGAGGTGCCAAGGTACCACCAGAGCTTGTTGCCACGAGTTACCCACATTTTCCTCAGTGCCCTTGCAGCTTCAGCACTGATAACCCAAACCGGCTAATCGGCATTCACAAAACACGGCATCCAAAAACCACACACAGCTCTGTGCGCGCATCTCCGTACCGTTTATCCAGGATGGGTCCTGTGCTGGGCTCACACCTGTAACCCTAGCTATTCAGGAGGATGGGATCTGACGATGGCGGTTCTAAGCCAGCCTGGGCAGGAAAGTCGGAGAGGCCCATCTCAAATTAACGAGCAAAAAAGTCGCAAGTGGAGGTGTAGCTCCAGCAGTAGAGCACCCGTCATAAGCAAAAAGCCTAGCAAGAACAACTCTACCGATCACTTTGGGTAGTTATACGTTTTAACCCGAAACCTTCCTATTCACGACTTAAGGGTATCTCTTCATCTGTTTGTGCCTTATTTGGTAACTTCCAGAAGTTTTCAGTGTAGCGGGTCTTTTGCCTCCTTGCTTTATTGTGTTTTTTATGTATTTTATTCTGCTCCTCCTTCCTGATGCTGAGGATCCAACCAATGGCCTGACACCTGGCAGGCAGGTGCTGTCACTGATGTACATCTCCAGCCTTGAATGTCATCCTCTTTTGATGTGATTTTTAACTCAAATTCTTTACTTTTTCATTGCATAGAAATGCAGTTTATTTTTGTGAATTTTGATAGCTTAACCTTGTTGGATTTACGAGGTAACAAGTATCTTTTTTTTAGTGGATTTCTTTCCCCCCACAGTACTGTGGTTTGGACTCAGGGATTACTAGGCTGGTACTTTACCACTAAACTACACTTGGAAGCTTTTTGCCCAGAACAGCCTTGGGCTATGATCTTCTATTTAGGATTGATGCATACCTGAGATTACAAGAATGAATGAATGGACTTATTTGCTGAGATGAGACCTCACCAGCTTTCCCCATAATCATTCCAATCTTCACCATCCAAGTAGCTAGGATTACAGCTGTGTGTACCATGCCCTAGAGATTTCCACCTAAGATTATATCATATGTAGAGAAAGGTAATTTTATTTCTTGTTTCAATGTGAATGCTTTTTGTTCCTTTTTTGCCCTTGCTTTGGCTAGAGCCTCTAGGACAATGTTGAATATAAGTGGTGAGAGTGAGCTTCTTTACATTACTGATTTTAGAACTAAAGGTTTTCCACTATTAGTATAATGTCAGTTCTTGGGTTTATTATAAATTACTTTTATTATGTATTCCCAATTGTTTAGATCAAGAAAAGGTAGGCTGGGAATGTGGCTTAGTGGTAGAGCGTTTGCCTAGCATGCATGAAGCCCTGGGTTTGATTCCTCAGTACCACAGAAACAGAAAAAGTCAGAAGTGGTGCTGTGACTCAAATGGTAGAGCACTATCCTTGAGCTGAGCTGAAGGACAGTGCCCAGGCCCACAGTTCAGGCCCCACAACGAATCAAAAAAAAAAAAAAAAAAAAAAAGAGGACTTCTTAGACTCAGTAATTGTAATATTCCTCCTCTCCTATCATATACTTTTAGTTGTTTTAGCATTTGGAAAAATTCCCTGATATTATTTTCCAAGGATTCTGTTCAGTTCTTTTCTTTTTTTTGGGTCCGGTTGTGGGGCCTGAGACTCTGGGCCTGGGTGCTGTCCCTCAGCTCTTCAGCTCAAGGCTAGCGCTCTACCACTTGAGCCACAGCGCCACTTCCGGCTTTTTTTCTTTTTGCTTATGTGGTGCTGAGGAATTGAACCCAGGGCCTCAGGCATGCAAAGCAAGCGCTCTACCACTGAGCCACCTTCCCAGCCCCAGTTATTTTCTTTTTTGTTTTTCTTTTTGTGCAGACACTGGGGCTTGACCTTGGGACCTCAAGTTTTTCAACAAGGCTAGTGCTCTACCACGTTGAGTCACACCTCCACTTCTGGCTTTTCGCTGGTTGATAGGAGATAAGAGCCTCATAGACTTTTTGTCGGCCTGAGATGACTTCAATTCTTGATCTTCAGATCTGTCTGCTGAGTAGCTAGGATTAGAGGTATAAGCTACCAGCACCTAGATCTCAATGTTGAATATTTAATTTCTGCTGTGTGATCAAGAACATTTTCATTTTTTTTTTTTTTGTCAGTATGGGGTTTGAACTCTGGGCCTGGGTGTTGTCCTTCAGCTCTTCAGCTCTACCACTTGAGCCACAGTGCCACTTCTGGTTTTCTGGTGGTTTACACCAGACAAGAGTCTCACAACTTTCCTGCCTGGGCTGACTTTGAACTGCAATTCTTAGATCTCAGCCTCCTGAATTGCTAGGATTACAGGTGTGAGCCACTAGCATTGTGCTGTTTTCTGATGGTGTACTACATAGGGGAGAATAGGACCCCAATTGGAATCGATGTTTTGGGAAACATCCCAACAGATACATCCAAGTGTGTTTTACTAATTTCCTAGGCATTTCTCAATCCAATGGAGTTGACAATCAAAATCAACCATTACACCATTAATAAAATACCTTTCAATAAGGATCCTGGGTCCTTGCAAATTATTTAATCTAAGAATTGAGTTGAGAAGAACTCCAAACTTGCAAATATCTGTTTTGAACTTATTGTGATTCTGCCACCCAAGGCCACAATCACTCTATTGTCCCTCTAGAAGATAAACCTTCACGTGCAAAGTGGCCAGTGTTGTCAAGCAGTGTGGTAATGGGGAGACACTTGAATTGTTCAGTCTTCCCTAAATTTATGTCTCATCTTTACCTAGACATCAGCTGGTGCAGAGGATTCTGACCCTATGTTTCTTAATCCCTCAATTGTTTGTTTATAATTGTTTATGTTTAATACTCATTTATCTGCTTTCTAATTCTCCCAAATCTGGCTGCTGTTTTTCTTCATTTCTCCAACTTTTGTGGGTTTGTTTGGGTATACTGAGGAGCATCATTCAGATCAGATCATTCTTCAAAAGAATGTAATGTGGATAGCTGTTCTACTCTCAGACATACTGATGCCAGTGACACAAATCCCGGTGGCTGATCTTGGACACTGATCAATGCAGGAATACAAGGCTAGGACATTCACTGTTTCTAAACTATGAACTAGACTAAATAGAACCTTTATCTGGAGACTCCACTAGTCTGACCATGAATTAGTTTCAGAGTTTCATTGTATTCTACAGTTTTTCTAATCAATCTTCTTGCCTTTCTTTCAGTGTAAAACCCACATTGTTTTTTTGTCAGTCGTGGGGCTTGAGCTCTGGGCTTGGGCGCTGTCTCTGTGCTCTTCAGCTCAAACGAGTGCTCTACCACTTGAGCCACAGTGCCCCTTCGGGTTTTCGAGTGGTTTATTGGAGATAAGAATCTCACGAACTTTCCTGTCCGGGCTGGCTTTGAACCGTGATCCTCAGATCCCAGCCTCCTGAGTAGCTAGGATTACAGGCGTGAGCCACCGGTGCCTGGCCCACATTGTTGTCTGATGGGGTCTCTACCTATACTTGCTCCCCCATCCCCTTATCATTCAGTAAATACTGGCATATCTAATTTTGCCTTGGCATCTGTTTCTCTAAGGACTCAAACTGTTACCCAGGATTTTGGGAAGAGGTAATGTTGGTTTTAATAGATTAACTTAATACAGATAGTATTTTTTTAACATTTCAAGTTTCATTAAACTGTGGAAAAAATGAAATTACCCCCCCCCCCCACATATATTGCTAAGAGTCTGCTTATTGTTTTGATCTGCTGAAACTTAAAATATTCCATTAAATTACCCAGGAAAATCCAGGTAGCAGAAATATAAAACATGATCACTTGTTTAGGAAATTTTAGGGAGTGGAGCTGTGGCTCAAAGTGGTAGAGCACTAGCCTTGAGCAGAAAAGATTGGGGACAGTGTCCAAGTCCTGAGTAAGAACCCCATAACTGACAAAAAATAAAACAAGATAAAAGGAGCTGGGAGCTAGTGGCTCATGCCTGTAATCCTAGCTACTCAGGAGGCTGAGATCTGAGGATTGTGGTTCAAAACTAGCCTGGGCAGGAAAATCTGTGACACTTACCTTCAATTAACTACCAGAAAAGCAGAAGTGGTAGAGTGCTAGCCTTAAGCAGAAAACATCAAGGACAGTGCCCAGGTCCCGAGTCCAAGCCCTATAACCACAACCACCATACTATCACCACCACTACCACCACCAACAACAAAAAGGAGATTTCAAATTGGCTTGAGAAGTCCATAAAATGATAAACACATATATATATACTATGCCATTTGAAATCACGTCTACTGTCTGTGCTTAAGAACTTAAGTACAGAAATTGTGGTGCTGAGGTAACAGTATAACCTTCTCCCAACGTAACTGCATAGGTATTTAAGGTTAAGTGTGATCGTTATGTAAAGTTTCAAGTCACTTAATCCCACTTCAGTTTCAGGCCAAAAGGAGCATATAAGTCATGCACCTAAGGAAGTATCTTCAGTGAGTCGATGTGTATGTACATGTAAGGGATGGGTATGAACCAGGAAAAGGCTGACGGTACCACAGCAATTACACAGTATTAGCTCTCTGCAGTTGTTGGTAATACAGAAACATACACAGTCTTCATATTCAAAGTCTTCATGGGGATATCTTCTGTGATTTCTAGAATGGAAAGGGAAAGGTTTTATATGCATATATACATAAACAAATTGACCAAAGGATGATATTTACAGAAGAGTACAATGGTGTTACTCCTTTGAACAACTAACAAACTGTTGAACAATAAAATGAATACCAGGAAGCTGCAACATGTTTTGCAGGGCAGGGGAAGGGTGTGTGTGTGTGTGTGTGTGTGTGTGTGTGTGTGTGTGTGTGTGTGTGTGTGTGTGTGTGTGTGTGTGTGTGTGTG